TGTCTTCACCCTTCTTTCCCATAGAAAAGACATTATAACCTTCAACTCCCGTGCCTTCTGTCCTTCCAACCTGTACTGTCGGCCTAGCTCCCTTCCTCCCCATTCTTTCTCCAGGCCGCAATTCCTCATCATTTGACCTAAGCGATCTGTTCCTGTTCCGTATCAGGTCACAATTAAATACTAAGATAATTTTGTTTTGTTTTAGCTACCTGGTTTTAAAAACAAAAACAAACAAACAAAAAACCACGGGGAATTCCGATGTAAATAACAAAACCAAAAAACCCCGAGTCCTAAACCACAAAGAGCGTCACTGTTACCTTCTAGCAGCCTGTGGCCTTAAGGGATTATAAACAGGAAAAAAAGGCTCCACATTTTAGGGTATTCGAGGGGCCAATCCCGAAGTACAAAGAAAAGGGACCCGCGACCGGCCAACAAGACCTACCTGCGCACCCGAGGAAAGAGGAAATGTCAACGCAAAAAAACCCCTCCCGCCAAACACAACGTAGCCACAAGGGCGAGGCGCAGCCGGAAGTGGGCCGGGCCGCGGGCGGAAATCCGTCCCCCGGAGCCTGCGTTTCCCCTCTAGGAGGATGGAGGTCTCCACGTCTTCATGGTTTGGGTCTCGCTGGGTCTTACGGGTAGAAGGAAAACTGCGCCCGGGCGGAACGCTAGGGGGCGCGGGACAGTTCCTTCTGCACCCTCTTCGTACCCGTGTGCATCTGGCAGGAGACCGCCAGCAGAGGATCGGAAATTGCTCTTATTGGGATTTTTTTTTTAAACGAAGATACATTAATTTATTAAAGTCAATAACTACAAATTAATCTAGGTGTCAAATTATACAGAAACACAATAGAGCACTCCGAAACTCAACAGTTTTCTAGTTTTTTTTTCCCCACTTAGTGTATACACACATTAAAAAAAAAAATTGAGACAAAGTCTAACTTTCATCCAATAACACAGCAGAAATAACCCTAAATAATTAAAAAAAAAAAAAAAGGTTTAACATGTGCCTTGGTCCCTTCTCGCAGACCAAGACCCCATATTCTCTCCTACCATAGGCATGAGCAACCGCACCAATCCTACACACTTGTGGGGCCCAGCTGGCCCATGTGTTGATTCTAAGGTTCAGGTTAGGACATTTTTATATATTCTCTCATTTATATTTTCTGCTCTAAAAACGAAAGGGAAAACTATACAAGTATAAATACCGAATTTAATAAAACGAGAACAGCCTTGGTTTAAACAACAGATAGCATCCAACACAAATAAGAATGTGGTGAAATTACTCGTTTCGGGAGAATGAAATGTAACGCAAACCTTGGGAAGGACTATTTGGTATTTTATATTCAAAACCATTTAAGGTGCACCCTTTCTGGCCAGTGGGATCCACCTGTACAAAATTTATTGCAAGCAAATACTGTAATACGAGAGAAAGGAAAAAGCTGCCTTCCTGAAGTGATGTTACAATGGAAAATGGTTGATTTTGCTTGTCCCAAATCCTTTCACCGATTTTAACACTAGGATCTTTCTGTGGGAAATAAACTAGTGTGCAATACACTTCTGTGGTGGGCATGTGACCCAGGCTTGGCCAATCACAGTATCCTAGGGAGCACCACAGAGCTGTGAAGTATGAAGTCAGGAATCAAGCTGCAAGAGTCCCAATCCTGGCTCTGCTTCTTAACAGGTGCATGAATTTTAGCTTGTTATTTAGCCTCTCCAATTTCATGTACTTCTTTAACAAAGGGGCACATTAATGAAAGACACCTACTCATGGGACTGTAGAGAGAACTACATGAATGAAGCAGGTATAATAATGTCTATGTACCATTAATTTTTTCTCCCTCTATGCCTCTGACAAATATTCCCTATGTTCAGCAGGCCATTATTACCTTGCCTTTCTTTTTGACTTCCACATACTCTAATATCATCTGCTATAATATCCCAGAAATCATATTTTATATCTTTCTCTCCTATTGGATATATCCTCATATCTGGTGCTTCTGACCACGTAGCATTCTGAACACTCTCCTACTGAATATATCCTGAAAGCTGGGATGTGTTTTATCCACTTTTGTACCTTAGGTACTGAACACAGTTCCTGCCCAGAAGTTGCTCCATGTTCAGTACATACGCTTATTGAACAAAACTGACTGCTCTTTAACACAGCAGAAAAAGCTGGAACAATGAAATGAAAATGTAGTAGAACCTGGCAATAAACAAATGGGAAACATAGGGCTGGGGATTTAGCTCAGTGGTTTCACCGCCTGCTGTGCAAGCGCAAGGACCAGAGTTCGACCCCCGGTACCAAAAATAAACAGATGGGAAACAGAGTGAACTATATGAAGCTAGAACATTTTTCTTGCAAAAAAGTAGCTTGATCATATGGGGATTGCAGAGTCCATTTCCTCCTAACCTATAGGGTGGAGAACTGAGTTCTCAGAACAGACTGTTACCTAAAGTCTACTTTTTGAATTAGTGCTTCATTTTTCCACTTCATGACTCATCTCTTTCCTTGGAGACTGGCAGTAAAAAATTACCATCCACTTCAGAGAGATCAAATCTACCCCCAGGTACTGTTGCAAGCCCAATTATTCAGGTGCAAAAATTCACACATACAATAGAGAAGGATTTTAAAATACAGCAAGACATTTACTAGGTGCACTCCAATGTCAGGCTAAGAAAACATTTTTTGGTTTTTTTGGTGCCGGAGATCGAACTCGGGACCTTTCGCTTGCGAGGCAGGCGCTGGAACAACTGAGCTAAATCCCCAGCACCTAAGAAAACATTTTTAATGGATGATTGTTTGCCTTCTGATGGTGATACTGGTTGAGTGATATTGGCATTATTTCTCTAACATACAAAACTCCTCTGGAACAAACCCCATCTGACATGGAAAAAGTCTCATAATTGGAACATATGGACAAGTGCATTAGTTTACCAATGAGTATAGTGTCACTTACTTTTTTTTTGATACCAGGGATCAAACTCAGGACCTTGGGCTTGCGAGGCAGGCACAGTGCCACTGAGCTAAATATCTGGCCCTCCATGTCATTTACTTTTAAACATAGCCATCAGGCCATGAACACTCTAAAGACACTCAATTCCCTGGTCCTTGAGATAACCTGTTTAGTTTATGGGGCAATTTTAGTTGATAAAAAGTTTTAGAGGGCCAGGGATTTAGCTCAGTGGTTCCACTGCCTTCCTTGCAAGCTCAAGGACCCAAGTTCGATCCTCGGTACCCAAAAAAAAAAAAAAGTTATTGAAATGAGGCCTAATTGGTCTTTGCTCAACCATGTCCTAACTCAGGCTTTGGTAACTAACCTTTCAGAAACTTTGATACTGTGGCTTGAACCTAACAGATTTAGAAGAGGATTAGTGGGTTACCACCACTATATTCTGCAATTTATCAAACATTTTTAGATCTGGAGAAAGACAAGAGCAAAAGGAGGACTGAGGGTGGTAGAGATGGATATGGGAGCCTCAGAGAAGGAAGGGTTGAGCATACAAGTGAAAGAGTGACGGTGGAGAAGCAGTACGGGAAGTTTGGAGGAATTCCCAATAGCAGCCTGGAAATGAGAGTGAGGAGAGGCCCCAAAGCAATCTCTCTTGCAATGGGCACGACCCATGGAGGGACAAGCCCAGTTGCATTTTGGAAGAGGTAGTAGAATATTCTAAGAGAGCTGAGAGGACTGGTCACGAAGAAAGCTCCTGAGGAGCAGAAGGAAGAAGGCCAACAGTGGGAGGATAGATGGGTGAGGAGGTGGGTTCAGTAGGTTGGAATGACAGGTTTCAAGACAATCTTACAATCCATGGTGTGCTGTAGCTTCTTGTACCTGCTTATGGGAGCTGACTGTGTCCATTTCTTCCTAATTCCAGCCCAGTGCACATTACTAGAAGTAGTTAAACAACAGAAATTGGCAATGCCATGAATCAGCTCTACTCCTTGCTCCAAACAAAATGAAATGCAAAACCCAAAAATAACTGCTTACAAGCCACTACTGCCTTTACCCTAGGTGAAACATTATTAGGAGTGGATTAAGATAGGTACCAATTATCTACAACCCAAAGTAATAAGTGGAAAATGTCACCTGAGTGAGAAGGGAGGCATCTCCTCGGATGCTGCAACTTGATCTGGGATTGAAGTAGCACAGATAGGATTTCACTTGTCAAAAATATGAAGGACCAGACTTCCAACATAACACTAGCAAGAAAAAAGAGCTGAAGGAGGGAAAACCCACCATGTGCTAAGGAAAAGGCAAATTTCAAAGCTTGCTTGAAAAGAGTCTTCACATTGAGGAACAGTAAAACTATGGCTGGAAAATCTAATTGGACCAGGCAAGAAAAGAATGAACTTCATTCAGGAGGCAAGTGGGAGGCCCTGATGATATTTGAGCAATATTATTATTGATAACAATAGCAATACCTCAGGAAATTAATTCTCTGAGTTTGTACTTTTACAATATTGAGAAATAACTCATATACCTAAAATGCACCCCTTTAAAGTGTACAATTCAGTGGTTTGGTGTATTCCGGAGGTTATGCAATCAGCATCACTATCAAATTCCAGGACATTTACAAGAAGAAACCTGATACTATGCAGTCATTCGTTACTCCTTCCTCTCCTAAGGGTTTGCACTTTTTACGAAACATTCAATTTGGTGTCCACAAGGCACTTTGAATTTTGAACCCAGATAGTCTCTCCTCCAAAGATCAAGAGAAAAGAGGAAAGAGTAGAATTTAGCTGATGGAAGGAAGGACAGTGGTAGAGGTAGATGGACAGATGGCAGATAGATTGCAAGGTAATAGAGGTAGGTAGATGATAGAGTAGTATTAGATGAACACATGGAAGCAAAGGGAATCAGCATGGGCGAGGTAGATCTGCAAATGCAACATCTGAATAAAGTGGAAGTAGTCAATGTTAAAAAAGTTTTTGCAGGGGTTAATGTTTTTATTTTCTTTGCATCTCTTGTAAATCATATCATTGTCCTGTACCTTTCCAGATGCTTTAATTCCTGAAGAGAACAAGGAAGAAAAAGCAGAAGGAGCAGGAACTTTGGAAAACCCCTTGCTCTGGAAAGCAGTAAGAATGACCCTCATTCCCTGTGGCTTGGCTCTTTATGAAGGCTGCTGGTGGCTGCTGGAAGCAGGGGGAGGGACCATGATTTTCTGGGCGCTGCTAGAGCTGCCCCATCCATCAGGGGAGGGAGGAACATCTGCCGTTTAGTGCAACACCAGGTAAGCCACAGCTCCTAGTAAGGTCTTGGGGCTCACTGCCAGTAAAGGACCCCCAGCGCGTGTGCATCCTGGGGAAGCATGCTTTCTAGGATGGGTGTGTTTAACAAAAGAAGGGACTTTAAGAACATTAATAGAAATGTGGTGCACCAGGTGGTTTCTATTCTTGAAGTGGGTCCCCATGCCACCCCTGTCACTCTCTGAGGACTGGCAGGAAGGGTTAGTGTGTGTCAGTGACAGCATCCAGCTCTTCTGAATGCCAGTCCTGAGGCATCCCATTTTGGGGTAACTGATCTAAGTTCAGAGAGGCTCACTTTGTAGGAAGCACTAAATCCCTCTCTTTATCACTGATTCAATTATTATTCTACTTTGAATATTGAAGAGATAGCTTTTAAAATTGGAGGGTGTTTTGAGTTCACCAAATCTGATTCTTGTTATTAGCAAGAAACCAGAGAATGCAACAGGCCAGGTAACTTTATCAAAATCACCTGTGCAACTCATCCATAGGGAGAGAATGCAGATCCGAACAGCAAGGGGAGGAGTTGCAAGGGGCACAAGGAAAGTTCTGAAGGTGATGGATCTGTTCCCTGTCTTGATTCTGGTTATTGTTTGCAACATACACACTTCAAAATGTAGCAAGTTGTACACTTGGAATATGAGCAGTTTATCGTACACCAATTATACTTCAATAAAGCTGCTTTAAAAAGCCACCCATCTGATTAGACGCAGAGCAGGAACCAGAATACACGTCTTGTGCCTTAAAACCTCAACCCGATGGCCCCTTAACCCCAGTGCTGTCTTAAAATCGAAACCTATTTAAAGTTATAAAAATAACTTTTCCACAGTGTCATTTAAAACATTCCATACTTTTAAATTGTTCATAGTGAAAAAACAATAACATCCTTTAAAAAACAAAACAAAACAACGGCTGCCATTCAACAGCTCTAGTGTGACCTGGTCCATAGAAACACAGACAGGAGCCCTGCTGAGTTGAGAGTAGGGAGGAGACAGAGCGAGATGTGATTTCACTCTATTTTCTCATGTTCATCTCTAGCAATGCTTATGAAAAATATCTTCTCTGGATGCATTCAATACATTTAATTCAGGATAAGAAAGACAAGAGGGATTGGTTTTTAATTATAGGATTGTGCTTTGTGGTGGTCACCAGTGGACTAAAAAAAAAATTTTTTTTGGATACAGGGTCTCCTTAAGTCACTAAGTTGCTCAGGCTGGGCTTGAACTCACAGTCCTCCTGCCTCAGCCTACTACAGTGCTGGGATTACAAGCATGGACGACCATGCCCAGTTTAAATGCTGTCTGAATAAACCCTGAATGTGGGAGAAGCAGTAAACCTTCCACAAAGGTTTCCCTCTTTTTTCTCTCCTTCCTGATTAAGCGCCCAGAACCACCAAGTCTGGTCAGCTTCCACAGGTCTAAAGCAGCTCTTTGTGGAGAAGACAGAAGTACAGAGAGAAGGACGGGTGTGTTCAGCCTTCACTTTTCATATGGAGCTGACCAATGGGACACTCAGCTGGCCCTGCTTGCTCACTGAATGGAAAATAAGAGCCCCTGGTTTCCTTACCAGGCTATGTTCATGAGCTATTGCCTGTGATGGGAGCTGGGAAGAGAAAGTTACCAGCAAAGAGATTTTCCCGGCTCTGTATGATGATTTTAGAATTGCAAATGTGAGGTACACTTGTAACAACTCCAAGTAAGACACAAGTAAATGGCTGCAAACAGAGGTGACAGTATGGGCAGTGGCCCAGGGAGTCAGGTGAATCTGACATCATTTCTTTCAAAGTATGGGAGAAGTCTGTTCATGTAGGTATTAGTGGTGTTGTTATGGAGCTTTCCAAAGTGCTTGGGGACACAGGATCAACTGCAAGCCATTTCTGTGTGTCCATGCCATCATAGAAGTTTAATCCCTTGTCTTAGTTAATCACATTGCTGGGACACAATATCTGATACTCACAACTTAAATAAGAAGAGGTTTATTTTGGCTCATGGTTTTTGTAGGATTCAGTCCATAATCAGCTGGCTCCAAGGCAGGAAGGCCCGGTGAAAGGGTCTGGTGGAAGAAAACTGCTCATGTCGTGGTGGCCAAGAAGCAGAGAGGGAAGGGAGGAACCGGAGAGAGTGAAAGACCCTTCCAGGCCATGTGCCCGGTGACTGCCTCCTCCTACCAGGCCCCACCTCTCAACAGCACATTCAGCTATGAACATATCAGTAGATTTATCCACTGATGTGTATAGTGACCCCATGATGCAATCACCTTCCAAAAGCCCCACCTCTGAACACACGAGGCTTTTAGGAGATATCCAAGATCTAGACCATAACACCCCATTGTGCTGCTTCTTCACACACGGATTTTAATCCCATGTAACTGTCATCCATTACTGGTGTAATCCCAGTACTCTGGGAGGCTGAGGCAGGAGGATCACAAGTTCAAGCTTAACCTGGATAATTTAGCAACTTTGACCTTGTCTTCAAAATGTTGGGGATATAGTTCAGTACAAAGGCCCTGGGTTTAATTCTCAGTTACCTGCCCCCCCCCCCCCGCCAAGATAGGAATACCTGGGGTCCATTGCTGTCTAGGTTTAGATCAGGACTGGACAACAGAAGGCACCAACAGAAGGTCAAGGGCAGGAGGAGAAAGAGCCAGGGTATTTATTCCCCTAGTTTTCCCTCTAGCCATGACTGTGTCTCTCCAAGAAGACAGGACCTCCAACAGACCTCTGGCTTTCCGTTCCTTGGGTGTAGGTAATAGTAATGGCTTCCCCTGATTGTTTTTCTCTGGGTGCTGCCACATGCCCTAATGGCTTCTTCAACTCCACCCCATCTCTAAGAAACGCCTTCATGGAAATTACTGCCTGGAATTGGTCTGATACATCATGTGCAAGGCTCTGTCTTCCCTCCCAGACTGAGAGGCACAAGGGCAGGCAGTGCACCTTTTAAGGATTTATATTCCCAGGACAAGGGACTGAATTAAGTGGTTGAGTTGATGAGGGGTGTTGGGACATTTTATTAAGACCTTAGACCTGGTTGTTAAAGGGCATGACTGTGGTGTGTGTATGATAAATCATTGTACTCAGACGAGATTTTGTTCTACAGGGACAAGGTCCAGGACCACATGGATCACAATGTATAATATTCAGAGCAGCATGACTCCAGTTTAGGTCCTGAATTGCACCTTTCTGCTGATGATGAAAGGGAGGACACTGAGGACAGTCATAATGATGACGATGATGGAATGTCCACTTACCTGACTGAGTCACAGCAGGACTTTGTGTTAGCACTGTGCCCTCTGTCTTACTGCAAGATGATACTAATTTCCTGGGTCAGTCTCCTAGTTGAGGTTTAGTTAAAAGTATATTTGGATGTTCTGACAACTAATTTACCCATGTAACCACTGCTTCCATTGAGAAATAGAACATTTCTGTCTCTCCAGCAAATTCCCTTATGCCTTTTCCCATTGAATTCCAGACCCAACCCCTCTGAACTGCACCACCACCGTAAGCTGGTGTGCAGTGAACTCCCGCTGCAGCCCCCACCCATGCTGGCAGAGGCCTCTTGTGCTGTTCTCCCTGGAATACCTTTGTTTGCCTCTTTCAACTGGTTGACTCCCCACCTTCCTTTCGATCCCTCCTTCAGGAAAGCTCCCCGCCTTTGTCCTGGATCAAGGCCTATTTCCACAATGCTCTGAACTGTTTGTCTAGATTTTAGCCATATCTAGATATTGTTTTCTATCATTTTGTGTGAGTATTCTTTCCCCCATTAAATGGCGAACTTCTTGAGATAGTGACTGGGTCATATTTTGCTCGTGATTCCAGTATGTTTGTTTGTTGTTTAAATAAACAGATTATTACCTCAGGTTTAATGACACTAAACTTTTAACATCTATTAGACATTAGACTGTTTTAATTGTAAGAAACAACAACTAGGTCTGTGGGAAGAGTCGCAAGGACACCCTTGCCTTGGAAAGACCACGGCCCAGCTTAGCCGGAGGAACCTCTCCATTTGTCTCTTGGTCCCTCTGCCTGTTCGGTGTGTTTGCCTCTCTTTTCTGATTGGCTTCCCCTGATCACCTTTAAGTTTTGCTTTCTCCTTTCTGCTTGCATTTTGCTGCAGCTTCCTCTCATTGTGACTTGACATCTGGCTGGCCTAAGTTATCATTTACAAAGGCAATAATCTAGTAAGCTCAGGTAAGCTTTTCAGGTCCACTTCATGGTCACATCACTGGCCAGGGACTGGGTCACCAGCCCAACGAACTAAGGTGGATCCCACAAAATGTAGCTTGAAGAGTGTAGCCTGATAGAAGAAGGGGTGGGCAGAACATTGGCGGCTTTCTGAGGTCTCTCCTACCCCATTGCCAAGAAAAACCCTTTGTATTTTTTCCCATCTTTGCTCCCAGATAACTTTTCTCATTCTGCATTTCAGGAAACTTGCTTGTCTCTGTTTAGGATTTATAGAATCAAGGAACATTGAAACAGGAAGAAACCTTAGGGTGATTGACTTGTGTGTGTCCCATGTAACAACACTAAGTCCAAACAATGCTCCATTAAGACTTCAAGGTGTTCTAGCACTTTCCTTGGCTCGCAGCCCACACCAGGAAGTTAGCTCTCAGAGGCCAGGAGTGCTTGGGAAGATTGCTGGTCCTTTGTGTAGAGAACCTCTGTAAAGTCCGGTTCCTCTAAGCGGCAGGCTCTAAAGCAGGGGTTTCTGAAGAAGCTCAGGAAGAAATCAATAGCAAAGCTCTTGAAATTGTCTGCAAATTTAAATTAGTATGATGTGAATGTGTGGAGAGTGTCCATAGCTTTCATCAGAGTCTAGCCGGTAAATATGACTTGA